CTCACAGCCCCCTGCCCATCCACATGCCCCCAGACCCAAGCTGGCACCCCCTCCCCACCCCCAGGCTGTCAGCTGCTGTTTACCCGGCTGCCATAAAAGCAGCTGCCAGGAGGGACATTCCAGCCGTGCATTGTGGGGCCAGCTGGGCTGCGGGTGCCCACACCCCCCCACCACTGCATGGAGGGGGCCAGAGGGGGAGTCCAGCTGGGCCTGGCAGCACTGGGTAGCGGGGACTGCAGGATGGGAGTGAGGGGCACTGCTGGGCTACAGGGAGGGCTATGCTCTTTGAGAGTGTGTGTGTGTGTGTGTGTGTAATGCTGGGTGTACATGCCACACGCATGCTGTAAGTAGGTTCCATGGTCTGCCCAAGTGTGGAGTGTGTCTGTCTCTGTGGTAAACGCAACATGTACATGCTTCACATGCATGTGTGTGTGGGTGTGTAAAGCAGTGAATCCACCCAGTACATGCATGTGTGTACGTGTACTGCAGCGTGCACCTGTGTGTGGTGTAGCACATACATTCTATGTGTGTACGCAATACAGTATACAGGCAGTCCTCAACTTGTATTGAGTTACGTTTCGTGCTTACAACATTTATAAATTGACGCCCTGGTTCAACTCTCTGATGTCAGTTTTGACCTTATGACGCTTGATCCGACGTGACACCAGCGAACAAGTTCACTGCATGGCCCACCTCCCTGGAGAACATCTGTCCAAACTTCCTTGGACACTTTCTTTAAGGAAGCAGACAAGACTCCAGAAAAACCTGCAGCCAAGACTCCTGAGAAGACGCCAGCCTAGAGCCCTTCAAAAAGTCCAGCACAGTCACCTCAAAGAAGTCCTTCCAAATCAATATGATTGCTATTTACAATATAAATAAATTAATGTAACTATATTACTCATCTATAATTGATTGAGTACAAAATTCTGGGTTATTTTTGGTGAAAATAGGGTATCGGGCCTTGGTTCAAGAATGAATCCCACATTTATAACATTATTTCCTATGGGAAAATCAGTTTTGAGTTACAACGTTTTCACTTAAGATGCAATTTTAAGGTACCAATTGTGTTGTAAGTCCAAGGACTACCTATATATTATGTATGTATGTTAAATACAGGGTGCACGTGCAGTGTGGTATGCGTGTGCGTGTGCACATGTTAAATGGCAGCGTATACATGTTGCTTGCCTGTGTGTACGTGTGTATAGACAGCATGTGTGAGTGTGAGTCTGTGGATGTCTGAGGCAGTATATGCATGCAGTGTGTGTGTGCAATGCAGTATGTGCATGTAGTCTGCATGGTGTAGATATGTCAAATACAGTGCACATATGCAACATGCTGTGTGTATTAAATTTCATGTGTACATGCTGCATGTGTGTGCATGTGTACACACGTGTGTGGGTGTATAAGGTAGTGTGTACCTGCAGGAGGTGTGTGTGTAATGCACGTGTGCACCTGTGTGTAATGTGACACAATGTAATGCTGTGTGTACGTGTAGCATGATGTATGTATGTTAAATACATTTTGCACATGGAGTGTGTGCATATCTGTGTATTAAATGCAGAGACCACCTGTTCCATGTTTGTGTTTGTGTTTAGTGGGGTGTAAAGCAGTGTATCCATACAGTGTGTATGTGTGTGTGTGTGTGTGCAATGCATAGCATGTGTATGTATCATATAATGTGTACATGCAGTGCATGTGTATGTGCCTGTGGGGGATGTCAGATGGTATATCCTTGCAGTGTGCATGTGTAATGCATCATGTGTGTGACTGTACTGCAGCCTGTGTGTAATGTAACATATCCATATGCACATGTGTGTGTGATGCATTGTGTACATGCAGCATGTGTATATATGTTTGTGCATCTGTGAGTGCATAAAACAGTGAATCCATGCAGTCTCTGTGTGTGTATGTGCGTACATGCCTATCTACATGTACACATATGTTCATACATACACACAGAGTATGTGGGTACATAAGGGAATATATCCATGCACGTGTGGGGGGTTGTTAAGCCAGATGTACATTCAACTGCTGTGTGTAATGCAGCACGCCTGCACATGTGTGTGTAATGTAGCACATGCATGTAATGTGTGTGTGTATAAAGCTGCTTGTACACACACTGTGTGTTTAGATGTGTGTACTGCAGAAGGCAAGCACATACTTGTGTAATGCAGTGCACACATGTTGCCTCCTGTGTGCTGGATCTATATTACATACAGTGTGCACATGCAGCATGGTATGTGTGTGTGCCAAAGGCAGCGTGCACAGGCTTTGTGTTTGTACAGGGAGCATGTGGGAGCGTGGGCGTGTGTGTTTCGGGAATGTGGTCAGCATGTGTCCCTTCCAGCTGTCCCCAGGGGGAAACCGTGACAATGGCAGGAAGCCGTGATGCCTCAGCTGGGAATGCGGCTACTCACATGTCCGGAATACCCAGCCTGAGGGAATGTCCCTGGCATGGGGAGGGGGAAGGATATCCCAGCCTTCGCCTTCCCCTGCCCTGCCCCAGAGCTGGTTGCATCCTTTCTAGGTGTCAGGCTGTTCTACATGGCTGTTTTCTGCCAGCCACATCCCAGAGTTGGCTGCATTAATGCGCTATGTGGACCATGCAGCTGCTGGGCCACTCTACACAGCTGTTTTCTGCCTTCCTCTCTCCAGAGCTGGCTGCATCTCAGTGCTAGGTGACCAGGGCAGTAGCTGGGCCTGTTCTACATAGCTCTTTTCTGCCTGCCACACCCCAGACCTGGCTGCATCTCTACACTACATGACCCATACAGATACTGGGCTGTTTTATATTGCTGTTTTCTGCCTGCCATACCCCAGAGCTGGTCGCATCTGGTACCATGTAAGCTGTCTGTGCTCACTACTCCACCCTTCACCTCCTTTCTCTCTCCTGTTTTTAGGCATGAAGACACCCTTGCTGGCCTAACCTGGCAGGAGGAGCCAGGATCCCTGGGGGCATGATGGTCCCCATAATCCTTTGCTCTCTGCTCTTGGCATCTTTTGGGACTGCGGAGCTGGAGGGGCATTTCGACCTTGGTGAGCCTGGGTTACCTGCTTGGGAAGGTGGGAGAGATCCTTAGCTCTGCTCAGCTTAGCACCCCCCCTCCCCACACACACATGCGTGCACATGCACACGTTTACATACGCACCTCACGGACCCCCTTCCCTGAGCCTCAGCCACACAGATATGTGGGATGCACATGGGCTGGTGTGAGAGCCTGGGCTGGGTACCCACACAGGCTAAGACAGACAGGATGCCCACTCTGCACATGCTAATGCATGCATGAGGACAGAAGAACATGCTTTGTATATACTAACACATATGCATGTGCACATAGGCCCCCTCAAGCATGCTAAGACAGACACAGTGCATAACTTGTATAGGTGAGCACAGGAGAATATGCTTTGTACGTGCACATACATGCACACATACACACACACACACACAGGCCTCATCAAGCATGTTAAAACAGGGACTGTGCATGCCCCCTCACATGCCATCATATTTAAGCATGTATGAACATGCCTTGCACATGCACACACACACACATCCACACAGGCCCAGCCTACACATGCCAACACACATGTGAGCACATGTGAACATGCTCTGTGCATGCGCACACATTGTCAAGCAGGCTAAAACAGGCACAGTGCCCACTCCACACATACACGTAAGCCAGGGGCAGGCAATTATTTTGGGTGGAGGGCCGCTTACTGAGTTTTGGCAAGCCATCGGGAGCCAGATAGAGAGTCCGCATCTGGCCCCCTGGGCTGCATTTTGCCCATCCCTGATGTAAGCACACATGAACATGCTTTGCACAAGCCAACATGCCCTGCCAAACACACTAAAACAGGCAGGGTACAGGACCCAGCACATGGGACTATAAGTGAACATGCTCTGCATGTGCTAGCATGCAACCAGATACACTTCATATACATGTGTGTGTATGCACACACACTTATACATGCATGGGCATCTGGCAGCCTGATCCCAGCCTGGCTGGAGAGTGTGGGGCTAGTGCCTCCAGGTGTCTGGACCCAAGAGCACCCCCATACAGTCTGCAGCCTCAAACCCACATACCCAGGGCAACCTGGCCAGCTGGGTTGCCCCTACCTTCCACCAGGGGCCATAGGGGATGTATAGGGGCTGGTGGGTGGTAGGAGAAGGTTTAGAGGAAGTACAGGGAAACAAGCGTAGTGAAGAGGACCAGAGGGGAGGTGGGAGATGGGGGATCTATAGGGGGTTGGTGGGATTTGTATGGGGTCTCTTGGGGCCAGGTGAGATATAGGGGAATCGATAGGGGTGGATGAGATATATACAGGATCCATAAGGCTGGGGTAGGCTATAGAACTCTATAGGAAGTGACGGGGGGGGATAAATATGGGTTGTCTAGACAACATGTGGGCTCCAAGAGAATACATATGGGTGGGATACATATGGGATCAGTTAGGCCTAGGGGGCTATAGGGAGATCTAGAAGGGGTGGATGTGATACATATGGGATCAATGAGGCTGGGTGGGCTATAGGGGAATCTTCAAGAGATGTGTGGGATACATACTGGGATGTATAAGGGCCAAGCGGGACTATTGGGAAAGCTGTAGTGGTAGGTGGAACACATACGGGATCAATGCAGCCTAGGTGGTCTACAGGAGAATCTATAGAGGGTGGGTAGATGAGATACATACAGGATCCATAAGGCCCAGGTAGGCTATAGAACTCTGTAGGGAGTAGGTGGGGTGCATATGGGTTGTCTAGGGGCCATGTGGGCACTAGGGGAATCTGTATGGGGCAGGTGGGATACATAAGGGATCAATGGGGCCCAGTGGGCTCTAGGGGAATATATAGGGTGGGGGAGGGATACATGAGGGGTCTCCCCATATATATTCCCTGTATACAGATACATATACAGAATCTCTCTGTATAGGGCTTAGAGGGGCTTGATACTTCAACAGAACCTTTCTGGGCTATAAGGGAATGTGGGGGGAGGTCAGAAGAAGGTTAAGATGGACTATAGGAGAAACTGGGTGTGGGGCAGAGGAAACTATAGTAGATGTATGGTTCTATAGAGGCAGGATGGACTATAAAGGGATATGTAAGAGATGGGTAAGAAATCTAGGTCTCTAGAAGTGCTATAGTGGAATGAACACAGAATGGGTGGGATCTATAGGAGGCTGAAGGATCCATATGGCAGTGCATAAGGGATGGGTAAGATCTGTAGGAGCCAGCTGGGATCTATCAAAGCTGGAAGAGCCATATGGGAGTGAATAATGGGTGACTGGAGTCTATAAGGGCTGGATGGGATCTATACAGCCTGGATGGGCCATATGGGAGTGAATAAGGGATGGATGAGATCTATAGTGGCTGGG